GAAGAACACCGAGTTATAATGAACATACAGCATGGGCTAAACCACGGTCCGCGAAAACGTGCGTGAGAGGCGCACGCAGGGCTCAACAAAGACTGAGGACGCGCGGTGGGTAGCATCTAGAAGAATCCAGCAGCATCCCAATACCTTTGTTGTGACGCAAGGTAGCATCTAGAAGAATCCAGCAGCATCCCAATTCATTCTCGTGGCGCTAGATAGCCTCTAGAAGCATCCAGCAGCATCTCAATACCTTTGATGTGACGCTCGGTGGCCTCTAGAAGCATCTGGCAGCATCCCAATTCATTCTCGTGACGCTAGGTAGCAACTAGAATAATCCAGCAGCATCCCAATGCCTTTGATGTGATGCTCGGTGGCCTCTAGAAGCATCCAGCAGCATACCAATCCCTTGTTGTGACGCTCGGTAGCCTCTAGAAAAATCCAGCAGCATCCCGAAGCCTTTGTTGTGACTCTAGGTAGCATCTAGAATAATCCAGCAGCATCCCAATGTCTTTGTTGTGACGCTAGGTAGCCTCTCGAAGAATCCAGCAGCATCTCAATACCTTTGTTGTGACGCTAGGTAGCATCTAGAAGCATCCAGCAGCATCCCAAATCCTTTCTTGTGACGCGAGGTAGCAACTAGAAGATTCCAGCAGCATCCCAATGCCTTGTTGCGACGCGAGGTAGCAACTGGAAGAATCCAGCAGCATCCCAATCCATTGTTGTGACGCTAGGTAACATCTAGAAAGATCCAGCAGCATCCCAAAGCCTTTTGCTGTGTGACGCGAGGTAGCATCTAGAAGCATCCAGCAGCATCCCAATGCCTTTGTTTCGCGACGCTAAACCCCGAGGCAGACGTACGACCGTTTATCCCCACCCGCGCGACCGACCGTAGCTCCGTTCGCTCGATCGCGCCGTATATCCCAATCGCATCCGCGTGAGATACAAAAAAAAATGCCCCCAAGTCCAGACACCCATCGTGCCGTGCATCCCAACGGGCGTCGTGACAACACGCGACGTCATTCGGACAGCGGCCGGTCCCCTCGCCGCGGCCGCGTTGCCGGGCAGCACCTTGAGCGCGTGGCGGTGAGCGGCGTCCAGCAGCATCGGCACGAGGTCGTCCACGGGGTCTCCGTTGTCGTCCTTCCTGCCGGGGGGGTACCACGAGAGCACGAGCACGCCTGCGCAGAAAACACAAAAGTCGGCGTGCAGACTTTAGCGGACCGTCGGGGGCGAGCGCTGCGCTAAGTAAAGGGTGGTCGTTTTATCAACTTCCCCACTGCTCATTCATTCCGCACTTTGTTTAACCATTTATATAGCATTCACTATTACCACCACCAACTACCAACAAGACAAAGATCCCCCGTATAGCCAGCACCACGCCCGGCCGCCTTTGTCTCTCCCCAGCTGGCAATGTTTTTACCCACCGCACCCAGGCGCTCATTTTAAGGCCGAGTCGACCTAGGGGAGAGGCCCAGGACCTGTTCAGATAATCGCCGCCTGTGTTGGCCGTGAGCGGGAATCGAACTCGGGTCGTCGGGTTCGTAGCGCAGCGCGCTGACCGCTACACTACACCAGGCACGCGCACACACACACGCACGAACAGGCAAAGGTCCTCCCCCCGTGTAGCCTTAACAGGCTGTTGGGGCAAGTGCTGTTAAGGCCGGCATACGTGCACCTCACTAGAGGAAGGTGTGGCCCACACGACGCCCGGCCGCCTTTGTCTCCCCAGTGCTGACGTTTACACACCACAAGTACTGGCTGAGGAGACCTCGTGAAGGCTCATTGGCAAGTTGAACGACTGAACGTCAGACCTGTTCTTCACCTGAGGACGGCCGCTTGCGTTGTGGCCGAAACGTCGTGAGAATTGTATTTTATGATGTTTTTTTTATTATTTTATTATTTCCCTTCTACGTGACTTTACCGAAAGAACCAAGAAGATGAATCCCTGCAGTCACGAAAGCTTTAAATCGAAACTGAACGTCCGTCCAGTGCAATGACCGAGTCAATGACTGTAGACTCTTCACAAGCGAATGACTGACCACCGGTGCAAACGATACAACTCACATTAATTTACACTCGTGTCATCACCGTCTTTCCTCCAATAAGCACGGTTGGTTATGTATGGTGCTGAAGAAATTCATACCGTGTCAACCCATACGGCTTACCCCGTATTCTTGTACAGGGAAATTCAATTTTCTGGTCCATACGGGGGTACAGCCGTTTCAATACGGGCTAAATAATGTTTGTCCATTTGTTTGTGTTTCTCCCATGTGATGGGACTTTATAGGATGAACGTTGAGATGTATAAAAGGCACAGGGTGACCAATAACGTCTGAATTGGTCTGTAATAAGGTAGGGCACTGATAAGGGGTTGACAGGTATGGAAATTCTACATATATACATAATGGGCAACCACGGTCGATCCACTGCTAGATGGAAGGTCTCCCCAAGTCGCCGTTACCTCTCAGGACGAGGCTATGAATGAGCCTACGCGAGTCAATGAAGGACTCAACACCCATAGAAATGAATGAATCACTTGCCCCATGCTGAACGAATAAGCCACACGAGTCAATGAAGGACTCAACACCCATACAAACGAATGAATCACCTGCCCCAGGCTGAACGAATAAGCCACACGAGTCAATGAAGGACTCAACACACATACAAATGAATGAATCACCTGCCCCAGGCTGCACGAATAAGCCACACGAGTCAATGAAGGACTGAATGAATGAGCCATGTGCCCTCGACTGAACGCACCAACTGAACGACTGATTGAACGAAAGAAGACCTATGCGAAATGATTGAATGAGTGAGCGAATCGCCTCTTGACTGAGCACCCATACAAAACAGTGAACGGATAAACTCCCATGCGAATGAATGCAAAAGCGAATGACATATACGCCCCCCCCCCAATGAACGACTAAATACTCATACAAATGAATGAGTTAACAAATTGACACTCATGCGAATGAGCGAACGAATGAACCCCCGGGAGAATGATTGACTACGCGAATGGCAGCATCCCCGTCTCAACACCCATACAACTGAATGAGCGAATGAACACCAATGTGAATGATTTAGTAAGGGAGTGACACCCCCCCCCCACTCCAACCAGACTGAATGAACGACTGAGCGCGCACACACATGAACGAACACCCATGCGAATGACTGAGTGTAGCCAATCGACACTGAACACCCATACAGATGAATGAAGAGTGAACGAACGCGTAAACACCCGTGCGGGTGACATGCCAGACCCCCCCCCCACTCGTGCGAGCGAAGGAATGAGCGAACGAATGAGCGAACGAATGAACGAGCGAACGGATTAACGAACGACCAAATGAGCGAGAGAACGAATGAGGGAACGAACGAATGGATGAGCGAACGAGCCAACGAATAAGCGAATGAAAGAACGAATAAAGGAACGAATGAAGGAACGAGCGAATGAAGGAACGAGCGAAGGAAGGAACGAGCGAATGAGTGAATGAACGAGCAAACGAATTAATGAGCGAGCGAACGAGGGAACGAATGAGGGAACGAGCCAATGGATGAGCGAACGAGCCAACAAATGAGTGAATGAAAAAACGAATGAAGGAACGAGCGAAGGAAGGAACGAGCGAATGAGTGAATGAACGAGCAAACGAATTAATGAGCGAGCGAACGAGGGAACGAATGAGGGAACGAGCCAATGGATGAGCGAACGAGCCAACAAATGAGTGAATGAAAAAACGAATGAAGGAACGAGCGAATGAAGGAACGAGCGAATGAACGAGCAAATAAATGAGCGAGCGAACGAGGGAACGAATAAGGGAACGAGCGAATGGATGAGCGAACGAATGAGTGAATGAAAGCACGAATGAAGGAACGAGCGAATGAAGGAACGAGCGAATGAAGGAACGAGCGAACGAATGAAGGAACGAGCGAATGGATGAGCGAACGAGCCAACGAATGAGCGAACGAATAAGCGAATGAAAGGCCTAATGAAGGAACGAGCGAATTAAGTAACGAGCGAATGAAGGAACGAATGAAGGGACGAGCGAATGAAGGAACGACCGAATGAAGGGACGAGCGAATGAGTGAATGAACGAGCGAATGAGTGAATGAACGAGCAAACGAATTAATGAGCGAGAGAACGAGGGGACGAATGAGGGAACGAGCCAATGGATGAGCGAACGAAAGAACGAATTAAGAAACGAGCCAACGAATGAATGAAGGAACGAACGAGGGAACGAGCCAATGGATGAGCGAACGAGCCAACGAATGAGTGAACGAACGAGCCAACGAATGAGCGAATGAATGAAGGAACGAATGAACGAAAGAGCGAGCGACTCACCGACGGCGGCGTGTCGCAGCTGCCGCATGTGCCCGTGCACGGCGGCGGGGTCGCGGGACGAGTAGGGGCCCAGCTCGGGGTAGAAGGAGGCGGCGACGTCTCCCGGCGGCTCGTGGGACCCCGTGGGCCAAGCGGCCGCCACCTTCGCGTCCCAGTGGCGCAGCAGCGCGTGGTTCCAGTGCACGTAGCGGCCGTCGAAGCGCGGGTTGCCGAACCAGGCGTAGTAGAAGATGTGCACGTCGTAGTTCACGTCTCCGTCGTCGTTGTTGTCGTTGTTGTTGCTGCTGCCATTCGCGCCGTCCCCCTTGACGAGTCCCGTAGATGCGGCCTGGTCGCCGTCAGAAGCCTCGGTCTTGCGCGGCGGCCCCGCCGGCTGAGGCGACGCGGGAGCCGGCCGAGCGGGAGCGGCGAGGGGGTCGCCTCCGACAACGGCTCGGGGTCGAGGCATGAACTCCCACAAGGAGCCGCCGCCACCACCGCCACCGCCGCCTCCGTCCTCGTCGTCGTCGGCCCGTCGCGACACGGCCCCGAGGCCCATCATGACGCCCACGACGAAGACGACGAAGACCACCAGCGCCAGCCACTTTCTGCGGAGCCTCACCATCGCGGTGGCTCCTCGCCCGAGGCGGCGGTCGGACGGGGCCGATGCAGTCGCCTGAGGGGCGGAGGGCTGTGATTGGCTGGCTAGCGGGGGGAGGGGGCGGGACAGCGGGGGGAGGGGGCGGGGCAGCGAGGGGAGGGGGCGGGGCAGCGGGGGGAGGGGGCGGGGCAGCGGGGGAGGGGGCGGGGCGTCGGGGGGAAGGGGCGGGGCGTCGGGGGAAGGGGGCGGGGCAGGGGGGCGGGGCGTCGGGGAGAGGGGGCGGGGCAGCGGGGGAAGGGGGCGGGGCGTCGGGGAAAGGGGGCGGGGCGTTGGGGGGAGGGGGCGGGGCAGCGGGGAGAGGGGGCGGGGCGTCGGGGGGAGGGGGCGGGGCAGCGGGGGAGGGGGCGGGGCGTCGGGGACAGGGGGGCGGGGCGTCGGGGGGAGGGGGCGGGGCAGCGGGAGAGGGGGCGTGGCGTCGGGGGCAGGGGGGCGGGGCAGCTGGGGAAGGGAGCGGGGCAACGGTGGAGGGGGCGGGGCGTCGGGGGCAGGGGGCGGGGCGTCGGGGAGAGGGGGCGGGGCATCGAGGGCAGGGGGGCGGGGCGTCGGAGGGAGATCTGCATTCAATGTTAAACAATGACATATTTTATTATATTATTTTATTATTTTTCGATTTAAAGCTTTCGTGACTGCAGGGATCCATCTTCTTGGTTCTTTCGGTAAAGTCACGTAGAAGGGAAGTAATAAAATAATAAAAATAAAACATAATAAAACAATTCTCACGACGTTTCGGCCACAACGCAAGCAGCCGTCCTCAGGTGAAAACCAGGTCCGTCGAGGCGACAGAGTCTGAATGAAACAGCACACGAGCTTGGAGCATATATATAAGCTGGGCGCATTGACAAAGGAATTTGCATATCAAAAGGAATTTAGCATATTTATGGGAAATGCAGGAATGTGATTAGTCCTGCATATGCATGTGCATTATGCAGGATTAACAGCATCAAAGGGAGCTGCAGTTACTGCTGCTGCAGCAGTTGCTGCTGCTGCTGCAGTTTCTGCTGCTGCTGCAGTTTCTGCTGCTGCTGCAGTTGCTGCTGCTGCTGCACTTGCTGCTGCTGCTGCACTTGCTGCTGCTGCTGCAGTTACTGCCTTATCCATTTTAATATAACACTATGTATTATTCTACCCACCCTAATGTGTATCATACTGCTATATGTTTACTGTACAATTACGACACCATACATTACTCTGCACACTGCACCATGCCAGTGAGTGGAACGCGGTCTGAAAGTCACCGTAAACGTGAACACAATCAGTTAAGATCCGAAATGGTTTATTACGTCCTTCCAATGATTGCTAAGCCAGAATCCATCTTCTCGGTTGAAATTGTCTCTGTGTTTGTATATGTGGATCGCCTCATGAACGAATCTCTCATGATAGCCAGATGGCTTGCAGAGAACCTCTGTCTTGGAGAAGTCAATGTCATGTGAGCCCACTGAATTGTAACAGTGATCTGCCACGGCTGAGGTGTTTGTCCTACCGTGTTTCAGGTCTGCCTTATGTTCACGGATGCGGTCCGAGACATGTCGTTTGGTTTCTCCAATGTAACTGCTACCACAGAGGCAACTTAGTTTGTAGACGCCAGGGTACTGTATGTCTGGAACCACATCTTTTACAGACGGGACCAGATCACGGATTTTATGTACTGTGTTGAATCGGACCTGGATCTTGTGTTTAATCAGGATTTTGGAGATCTTTTTTGTGACCCCAGCAATGTAGGGTAAGGTGATGGTCTTGAAAGGCTCCTCAACAGGATCCTTCTTGATGGTTGGAGTGATGGCTTTGCGGATTGTGTAGTCGGAGTAACCATTAGCCTTAAGAGCTTGGCGTACGTGTTTGAGTTCACTGGAAATGTGTTCATGGTCGGAGATGCATTGGGCTCTATGATATAGAGTCTTGATGAGGGAATTCTTCTGGGATGGATGGTGGTGGGAATCCGGTTTTAGATAAGCATCCGTGTGGGTGGCTTTCCTGTAGACAGAGTGGCTCATTGAACCATCAGGTCTCCTTTTGATTAGGACATCCAAAAAGGGTAGCTTGCCATCATTTTCGACTTCCATGGTGAATCTGATGGCTGGGTGTATGGAATTGATGTGGTCGAGAAATTGGTCTAGAGCAGGCCGGCCATGTGGCCAGATGACAAAAGTGTCGTCTACGTACCTCTTCCATAAGGTCGGGCGTAGAGTGGCAGTCTGGATGGCGTCCGTCTCAAATTTCTCCATGAAGATGTTGGCTACAACCGGAGATAGGGGGGAGCCCATTGGGGTGCCCTCAATTTGCTTGTAGAAGGTTCCATTCCAGGTGAAGTATGTATTGGTTAAGCAGTGTCTCACCAGGGGGGGTACCCCAGCATTCATTCCTTGATGAACCAAGTCTTCAATGATTGCGATGGTGTCAGGCACAGGCACAGGCACCTTGGTGAACAAGGAAACCACATCAAAACTGACAAGCAGGTCGTCTGGGGACAGGGCAATCCCCTTGATTGTCGATACCAGGTCAGTAGAGTTTAGTACTGCAGAGGTGGTTTTTCCAGTGAAAGGCCGTAGGATTTCGGACAAAAAACGAGCCAGTTTGTAAGTGGGGGAGTTGATAGTAGAGACAATGGGACGAAGAGGTGTATCTTCTTTATGTATCTTTGGCAAGCCGTACAATCTTGGTGGCCTGGCTGCAGAAGGTTTCAACGAGAACTGTTTGGTCTGATCAATTAATGCGGTTGAAGCAGAAATGATGTTGTTGGTTTTGGAGACGAGGCTGTTGGTGGGGTCTCTTTTTTATTTTTGTATAGCTGCCATCGTTGAGTAGTTCTTGAATTTTGTTGTTGTATTCTATTTTGTCCATGATGACAGTGGCATTGCCTTTGTCGGCTGAGAGGATGACAATGTCATCCCTCTTTTTTAATTGAGCTAATTCAAAACGCTCATCTTTGCTGATGTTGCTAGCTGGCATCTTAGCGTTTTTGAGGGTTACAGAGATTTCAGATCTTGCTACGTCTGCAGCGATGTGACTCAAGCCCTTGAGAGCTACATCTACTCGAGCAATTATATCATTAACTGGTATGTGTCTAGGTGTGACTGCAAAGTTTAGTCCTTTAGCTAAAACGGATTTCAAACCTTCAGAAATAGGACTGTTACTGCGATTAATTACGACTTTGTTAACATCTAGCTTTTCAATGTGTGGGTCCGGTTTCTTGTTTGAGAGGCGGTTGAATTTGGAAATCAAGTTGTCCTTACATTTAGTCGACATAGCGGCAGCTGAAGAGGCAGTCATTTTTTCCACATGTTCCCAATCCGATGTGGACATTGTTACACTCAAAGATAAGTGTGATTTGTAGAGTGTCTTGTCTAACTGATCTAGTTCGGTGCGCGTAAGTCTGATTTTCTCTGAGATAAGAGCTAAACTAGTTCTAGACAGAATTCGTTTCAGCATTAGAAGAAGTTACAGCAGCAGATGTTAGTGTAAATGCGTTTGGTATTACCTTAGAGTCGCGGCATCTCTTCAGAAAGGTGAGAGACTCGATTAGCTGAGCCTTCTTATCCCGGAGCTTGTTGAAGGATCTCAAAGTTATGTGGAAACCCTCCCCGTAGAGGCGGTTAAATTTCGATTTAAAGCTTTCGTGACTGCAGGGATTCATATTCTTGGTTCTTTCGGTAAAGTCACGTAGAAGGGAAGTAATAAAATAATAAAAATAAAACATAATAAAACAATTCTCACGACGTTTCGGCCACAACGCAAGCAGCCGTCCTCAGGTGAAAACCAGGTCCGTCGAGGCGACAGAGTCTGAATGAAACAGCACACGAGCTTGGAGCATATATATAAGCTGGGCGCATTGACAAAGGAATTTGCATATCAAAAGGAATTTAGCATATTTATGGGAAATGCAGGAATGTGATTAGTACTGCATATGCATGTGCATTATGCAGGATTAACAGCATCAAAGGGAGCTGCAGTTACTGCTGCTGCAGCAGTTGCTGCTGCTGCTGCAGTTTCTGCTGCTGCTGCAGTTGCTGCTGCTGCTGCAGTTGCTGCTGCTGCTGCAGTTGCTGCTGCTGCTGCACTTGCTGCTGCTGCTGCACTTGCTGCTGCTGCTGCAGTTACTGCCTTATCCATTTTAATATAACACTATGTATTATTCTACCCACCCTAATGTGTATCATACTGCTATATGTTTACTGTACAATTACGACACCATACATTACTCTGCACACTGCACCATGCCAGTGAGTGGAACGCGGTCTGAAAGTCACCGTAAACGTGAACACAATCAGTTAAGATCCGAAATGGTTTATTACGTCCTTCCAATGATTGCTAAGCCAGAATCCATCTTCTCGGTTGAAATTGTCTCTGTGTTTGTATATGTGGATCGCCTCATGAACGAATCTCTCATGATAGCCAGATGGCTTGCAGAGAACCTCTGTCTTGGAGAAGTCAATGTCATGTGAGCCCACTGAATTGTAACAGTGATCTGCCACGGCTGAGGTGTTTGTCCTACCGTGTTTCAGGTCTGCCTTATGTTCACGGATGCGGTCCGAGACATGTCGTTTGGTTTCTCCAATGTAACTGCTACCACAGAGGCAACTTAGTTTGTAGACGCCAGGGTACTGTATGTCTGGAACCACATCTTTTACAGACGGGACCAGATCACGGATTTTATGTACTGTGTTGAATCGGACCTGGATCTTGTGTTTAATCAGGATTTTGGAGATCTTTTTTGTGACCCCAGCAATGTAGGGTAAGGTGATGGTCTTGAAAGGCTCCTCAACAGGATCCTTCTTGATGGTTGGAGTGATGGCTTTGCGGATTGTGTAGTCGGAGTAACCATTAGCCTTAAGAGCTTGGCGTACGTGTTTGAGTTCACTGGAAATGTGTTCATGGTCGGAGATGCATTGGGCTCTATGATATAGAGTCTTGATGAGGGAATTCTTCTGGGATGGATGGTGGTGGGAATCCGGTTTTAGATAAGCATCCGTGTGGGTGGCTTTCCTGTAGACAGAGTGGCTCATTGAACCATCAGGTCTCCTTTTGATTAG